GTAACTTACTCCAAGTAAAAGCAGACACTGTTCTCTTCGTAATTTTGATTTAGGTGTTTTGGCTAGTGAATCTAAACTAATAAATGATGCTAGAGAAGGTGAGAATGGAAGACTTGTCAGTTTTCGTTTATTTCCAAGTGCAGCTTTCTCACATAATGTGATGAGCCTTGGTGCAGGATAAGAAATTTTCAGCGTAGCATAAGTTCTGTCGTTTATCAATCCATTAGTTATATCTCCTGTGAAACCAAAGTGTAAGAGACCAGCTTCCTTTCTTTCCAGCTGCATCATATTTGATGCATCTCACCATTTTGACATATTTATCAACAATTCACTGAGAACAGGCATTTCAACTAGGAAATTCTTATTGTACTCAAGTCTTTCATCTAGTCTTTCCTTAGATTGCTAGCACTATTAAAATATGCTGATATAATATCCCTATTCTAAATCATTGAGAAATTATTTTAGTCTTGATAGTTCTCAGTCTGTGCTTTTGTGATGAATAAATTAATCATCAACCTAATTATAGCAAATTGTTGTGTTATCAATTGTGTAATTTTACTTCGTTCGTTCAGAAATTCTTTTGAATAAATTAGTTAAATTTGATCCCAGTGCGGTACCACAGAGACTCCATCCATTTACAAATACTTCACATTACTGAACTGAAATGGTAAACAATTAAAGCACTCACGAGTAAGGTTTTCGAATTCTTAACTCGATGAATTAAATATGAAGTGTATCACAGAAAGAAAACATATTACCGCTTAACAGTTAACTGTGACCAACACGTTTAAAGAACTCCGACTGGAACCTCTCTGTGGCTACTGTCTGTTCCAAATCAGAATAAAGCAGAAGAGTTGGGCATGGGGTTAGCACATCATCCCGTAGAAAACTAACTCGCTCAAAACACACTAACCGGAAAAAAATAATTCAAACCATTTAAACTCTGGCCTGCGACTTAGAAGCTCTTCATTTAGAAGAGTTATGACGTCTCGTAGTGAAGGCCGAGTTCCATCGGAGTTCATGAGGTCGATGACCCTTCTGAAAACAAGAGCAACCATTTATTTAGGTACATGCAATGGTCGCACAATGTGGGAGACTGGGAGAGTCTTCTAACGTGCTGCAGAAATGACGAGATAAAACTTGGAGGTGCTTGGGATTAGTGAAACACATTGGACGCAATTTGGACAACAAAGTGTAGCTTCAGGGAAGGTGTTGTTATACTCCGGCCATGAAGAAGAAAATGCCCCACATACACAAGGAGTTGCATTGAAGCTATCCAAAGAAGTACAAGATGCATTTATAGGATGGGAATCTCACGGACCATGGATAATCAAAGCCTCTTTGAAAACAAAGAAATAGAGCATTACAGTGAACGTCATTCAATGCTATGCACCTAGCAACGACTACAATGAAGACGTTAAAGACCAATTCTATAATAGGCTGCGATCAATCGTCGAGAGATGCCCAACAAAGGACCTGACTATTCCGGTGTGAGACCTATATGCCAATGTTGAAATGGACAACAACATATATGAAGACATCATGGGACAACACTGACTGGGAAGAAGGAACGAAAATGGTGAGGGATTTGTGATACGGAGAGGTAATTCACTTTATTTACTATGTCTCCCAAACGTAATAAACGTAATCAAAATAATAGTGAAAGAACCCTTATTCACTGAAGCATTCCAGATAGACAATAGAAAAGCTTAAATACCGGTGGCTTATATTCATTCAATTTGTTGTCCTTAAATTATCTGCAGGCTAAATTATAACAATGCTTTATTACAATATGACAAATATGAATTGTTTCAGTAAAGAGCCATGGTTGTATTAAATAAAACAAGATATCAACGACCTCTTACAGAACACCATTTTGTATTGTTCACTTATCAATTCAACGTAAAACATTGTTATTTTCCATCACCTGGTTACCAAAGTGTTAGGCTTTTTCATTTACCTTAAGGACAACTTTGCATGTAGTACAGTGTATCACAGTTCAGTCTCAGGTCCACTTCATACTTTCAACTCACTATCGCCCAAAATACTAAAGACTTGTTAATCATCTTCATGTTTTGGATCAGTATAAGAGTATGTAGGAATAATTGTTGCTATTGGAGTGTTCAAGTATTTTGTTGTTCAAAAATTCATTCATATGACAAATATGTGGATTGTCATCAGGTTTCGTTTGTTATTAGGGATTAGAATAAATAGGTGTAACTACTCAAAATTCAGTGACTGCATTCTGATTGGCTGAAACAACTACATATTTTGCAACTATTTAAATGAATTCAGCTTTACTTGAAATTAATTTAGCTACTGACTGAAATTAGTTAAATCATCCGAAAATATTTTCAACAAAGTTTAACCCAAAAGTTTCATCATCATCATCACCTTCGTTTGACTTACATTTTCACATTCATACATAATGATCGTCTATCAAAGAATTCCAACAGATTTGATCATTATACTGATTCATACTGTTTGTAAGTTGATGCGTGATTGTTTAGGTTTAAACTAATATATTGCATTCAGTAGTTCATGGATCATTTGAACAATCCACAAAATTGTGTGAAAATAATTCATCGTAAGTCTGTTGAAAGAATATTAATGGTTTATGATCATAGTCGTGATGGTAATAAATATTTATATGATTCTCTTTAGATGTCTTTGGTTGATTAGAGGTTTATTAATAAACAGGAGGGATTGGTTACTGAATAATCGTTAATATCATGTATGTTTAATTCTTAGTGGTGACCTAAATCTATGGTTTACTTAGCTACTAGCAAACCCCGAACAACACACAACCAGCATTTCCTACCGACTATCTTCAACCACCTAACAAATTTCTGTGTGATCTAAATACATAAGTAACACAAAATGTGGTATAATTGTGTGTACTGAACAGTGACAAGACATTTATTTCACTTGTGGTATACAGTATAGACATCGTTTATTATCTATTTATGTCTAGAATTCACAATCACTAATCCAATTGAACTAATGTGACTCAAACGATAGAGGAAGCGGTCAACTATAATCACAGTCAAATTAAACTATGCTACAAACAATTAGTAGAGTAATATCTTCAATTTTCTGTATCAATACTACATCCCAAACAGGTTTGTTCTACCATTCGATATACGTGAACTAAATTGCAAATGATTACTGTGCAAACTAACCACAAACATATTCTCAGTCTATTTAAATCAGTAACTGAGCCTAAAGACAGACAACTAATAGATAACAAATCAAATGAGAAAAGGATCACCTCTAGAAGCTAACACATAGAAAGCCCATAGAACAGATGAAAGTAATCAGAACTACTAAACATGTCTCGACTTGATTAGTTTAAATGACGGTTCTAAACTAATTAAGAGTATTGGCCTGGGGACATTTCAGTTGAATGATATAACTTTTAACATAACTTTCAATGAAAGACAGTGCTAAAGATAAAGTTTCTCGAAATAGTGTATCCATAATTTCACTGACTGTTGATTTTAATACTTTCAATATTTTTGGTAAGTGCGAAAACTGTTCAGTAATATACAAAAAGCAATTTAAAATATTTAGACTGTCTAAAATAAAGCTGAAACTTAGTTGATCTTTAGTCAGCCATTAATGCTAATGCGTTATCTTGATATAAGCATGTTTGCTGACGCTTCTGTTTGTTTGGAATATCACATCAATAGTGTATAAGAATAGTGGTTAAAGGTAAGATGAGCACAATTCTCAAGAATTTCAGGATATTTATTGGCATTATTTTCAGTTTCGTTTATGGTTGAACTGAATGAACAAACCCTAAACCTTAATGATCTGTTGTTGATTGTGTAGAAACTACAGTTAGTGATTTCGTATTGAAATCATATTCAAAGCTCTTTACTCTTAGTTTCGATTTATCGACTTTGCAAGATGGAGAAACTTGTAGAAGTACTAAACTGTGCAGAGATATTCATCAAATTACGATTTTGGGATGGTCAGGTCATATCAAAATAGTACAAATTCCGGTATATTTAGCTAATGTACCGATAATAGTTTGTTGTAATAAGTATACGTCTTGATATCTCATCTTCAGACTCAAATCACTGATTTTTAATAGCAAATTAATGGTTTTCTGCAAGTCAGTTCCACACACTAAAAATAAAGTTATTGAAATATGCATAACAAATTTCACTTATGTACATATTCTAAATCACTTGTGTGTATAAGACCGCAATACACAATCTTTTTGATTAGGAGCTGTGTTAATGGTCACTGCATTAATGGAACCTGTGTATGTAATACATGTTGGGTAGGGAAAACATGTGAAGAACGAGGTAAGTCAGTCATTTATGGTTTAACTAGTCAATATTACTAATAACAAGATAATTTTCTGTTCGGTTTTATAAATATTTGGTTACATTCTATCCTTTTCTTTATCGAGATGATGATAAAGACTCTTATCTGAAGCTCATAAGATTTACTGTGGTGTATTCTACTGATCCCTGTCTACATAAGTAGTATGTAAACCAATCACAAGTTGTATGTCTCTCAAAAGTAGCTTGAGAAGATAGCACTGAAAAAACAGAATAGGGAAGCATGAAGGGATTGAGAGATGGAAGAATCATGAATGATGTAAGGATAAATGATGTAGGATTTGCAAATGAAGTATTCAATGTAACTCTCTAATTTTGCATTGAACAATAAATTATTATTCCACACCTGAGTTCTTCATTAACTACATTACTTGTAGAAGAAATAAACATTACACTGAATGGATAATAATTCACATTTCTTGATAAGCTTGTAGTCAAATTCACTTCGCATCTTGTTATAGGAAATCTTGGAAAATCATCAGTTGGTCAACTAAAAGCAAAATCTCCTCATGAATTGGTTTATCTATTTGTAAAAACGTTCAATCATTTGTATTGTGCATTGGTTACAGTTGAAGAAATATTGTCCATTCCATGATTAATAAGTCCTTTCTGGTTTATATTTATTGTGAAATATTAACATTTTAGTACATAGAATTCCGAAATTCAATCAGACAGTATTCACCTTCGAAAGCAAGTTTTCTAACTGGATCAATGGAAGTCTGATTGGTAGTCTTTCTCTGAGTGATGAAAACTCCTCCTTAGCATCGTGTGGAAGTGTTCAATTTAACATTGTACCTGGTTCAAACTACTTACCAGTAGCTATCGATGGAACAACTGGTATTTTGAAGGTAATTGAAAGTGATTATGAAACAATGAAGAATAATCACACCATCACTTTTCAAGTGACAGTTAGGAATGCAAATACTTCACTAAATATAACTGATGATGCAATGGTCAACATTCTAATTGATGAAAATTATTCTGACGAAGAAACAGGAAGTGAAATCACTGCAGTCAAGAGGGTATGATTTCTGTTTATTGTAGTATTTTTTGAAATCAATTGAAAAGAAATTTCTTCGCTCAATTCGTTCCTTCTTTAATAATCATTTTTGCCAAAAGTGTTAACTTCCAAGTATGAAAACCATTTAAAATAATAGTATTAGTAAGAGTTGTAAGTAGGTATAATGGTCTCTGAATTCGTGTGTATTTCACATTCATTTATCTTACAAAACAATGTGGTGTTTCAGATAACAACCTCCATTCATTAATGAATTCGATTTAATGATTCCGATGTTAATGAAATAAAATAGTGTTATCATCAGGACGTTGTTATCCGATTCAGTAAGTGTGCACAGTAAGATATAGAACCATGATGTGTACTAGCCAAAATAATTGGTTCCAGGTTTTCAGATGAGTAATGTCATTTTTTCTTCTTTGTAGGGCGTCATAGTTCCACCGAATACTATCAATGTCACATTTTCCAGAGTATACATCCAGGATAATCCAAATTATTGTCTATTCGATACATGGTTTATTGATTCGGTAGTTGTCCTTCCACCTGGAAATCATAGTTTAATCATGAAGTTTTCTGGTCCGTCTCTAAATAATGTCTATTACGGATATATACAATATTTGTTTGCGTACTACAACGGTTCAAATATAGCAAATAATTATCCTGTGAAGTTTAGTAATCTCACATACTTGAACAATGATTCCTCGGTAAGGATATGGATGTAGTTTGATTAATTTTACTGCTTACAACATTTTCTGTTAGAGATTGTAAATGCATGTGTAACAAGGAATGTACAAGTAAATATACATATGACACCTCTTGATTCCTGCCACTATAGGTGTGTATAAAAATGAGAAATTCCTAAATAATTCGAATTAAATTATGTAGACGCAGTCAGGTTTTCTGAATTCACTTTCTGTATAGGTATAACCCTTAGTTAACAGTCTCTCATGAAGCTGTTATATCGTCTAATCTTTTTCTCCTGGCCTTCAATATATCTTACATTGTAATTAAAAATATTTTACTAGGTAAAAGTTACTATGGAAAGTACACCGATATGTGCAACGACTTATTCCACATTTCACTGAAGATTGAGAGTAAATATCATAGTTCTGTTTTATACAAAAATATTCAAAATGCCAGCTGATGCTGATTATGTACTCGAAGGAAAAAAAGTTTTTAAATAGTTAAAACCAACTTTTAAATACCCACAGTGAGATTGTGAAGATTCATAACAATGGATATTTAATTTGGATAAAATTTAATTCAGTTTCGCTTAAAAAACCTTCCTGATTTACGTCTCATCCAATAATCTCTATATCTTAACAACCTATCGAAAACCTGAATACAAAGTTCCATTATGAGTATGAATTTGAAAAGTGAGTGTAAATAAAACAGAATAATCTACAAGATTAGAAGAAAGAAAACACTGTAATATAAGACTATAGTCATCACTGAGTGAAAGTTCTAAAGAGACGAAGGAGTGGAAAATACAAGAACTAAAGCAGAAAGGATTAGATAAGATGTAGAAATGTCTTTGTGAGTTTCTTATTTTAAGGAGCAGTAATAGATAGAAATTCTGATTTTCTATATTTGCTTTATTTTATTCCATAAATTAGATTTTGGTTATAGGTGAGTTGATATACCAAATAATTGTAGTCAATCTACAAACTTGAGGAAATATATGATAAAAGATGTCACATCAAATGACTCAACATCGCTTAAAATCGGTTTTGTGAATGGGTCTAAATTGGTTTGAAATTGCAGTAGTATATATTCGTAAGTTGATATTAACTCATATCTTCGGTGCCAAATTATACATATAAAAATGGAGAATTTCGTGAGAATTCCAGCCCTTAATCCATTTTTGTTAATTGTTTTCCGTAGTCTTCGGAGTTCACAATGACAAGTCAAATAAGTGTTTCATCCGCTCCTGCCAATGATTCAAATGACTTCAGTATTAGGATGCGATTCCAAGTTGGTCTTTTCCCTCAAATGTTGATTCTACCAATAGGTGCCAATTTAACAGTCAGAATGGAGGCATTGTTGACTCCAAAGATTACCGTAGATATTCCCATGAGAGTTTCCTCGAACTGTCCTATTCAATATGATTCAGTTAACTTTACCAAGTGCCCACCGCAAGTGGAAGTAGGTGGGGTTTATGAGTATTCTGTGGACTACTTTATAAGCAGACCCATTGGCGATTATGTGGTGAATAATAAATATGATACTTGGACAATTTGCAGTCTCACGAAAAAAGTTGTTAAATAATAAGACTTCTGACTTAATTGTTGCATACTATGACATACCTCATAACGAAAAATTAATCTGTACATCACCAATAGAAAATATATGAAGCTTTATGTCATAAGACATGTCAACAGCTAGATGAATGCATATTGTAGCGGTAAATAAATCCCCAAAATAAATAGCTCTGTAAGTCTTCGACATTGCATGCTGACCACATTAGTTTTAATGGAATCACCTAGCTGAAGGCGCTCGGTCATGTATCCGCACCAGATCATGAGTGGGAACACCGTGCTCAACAAACGCTGCAACCGCTAGCCAGATTAGAACAGACGATCCTCGATATATTGATAGCCCATCAAATATATCTTCGAACCTGTTAGCGGAACATAGACTGGATTAAAGCATGCTCAATGCACGATTGCTTTGGTGCACGCTTAGTGAACACTAGAAAACTCATCTGAAAAACTTTAAATATACTAACGTTTTCCCTATTGCACTTACTTGCTTCTTGCTTACATCTAACCTTGTTATTTGGAATATAATTTCTTTCCTGTTCAACCGTGTTCTGTTTGGGGACTTGCCGAGTGATTTAGTGTCCAAGAATACTAAGCAATAGGAATATCTGGGTCATACCGTAAGAAAGAGAAATATAACGGAACCTTCTCGCTTCGGTCTTTTGATTTCACTTGGTGAGTACGATTCATATTGAGGATCAAAAGGATGTTCATCGTTTGAAGACAAGGGATGAAATAAATTTATATAACGATCACCTAGACTTGCTTTTATCCACTTAGCTATATCAAAACCTTTCTCTTACAAAATTCGCCATTGTTGACAGTCAGTATCCTACCTAAATTTACCACTAATTCGTTATCACAATAATCCAGGTTTTAACTGACAGTAAAAAACTGTTCACGAAATTCAGTAACCAAGACTGTTTGTTTCCTCCTCTCAGATTTCGCTAACACGATAAATTTCCTTTGATGATCAATAACGCTTATGATTCAATCTTCAGTACAGATTATACATATTTTCAGTTCGCTCTTTCGGATAATAATTAATATTGGTTAGTTTTCGTACAAAAATCTGTAATCTAAAAGTGATGATAAATTCAGTAGAACTAGACGAGGCTCTTAAAACAAGTCGGGTCCTGATGAACACTTCAAAATTACAAACTAAATAGAAAATGTATCAGGTTTTGACGATAATTACTCCAGAGTATATCAGCTATAGTACCGATAGTTACGTAATGCTGCAAAATAGTAAAAACCTGATAGTCAGATGTCTGCGAAAATCTGATTTTATTCAGTTACTCTGCTTAAGAATATAATGATTCAGCTGACACTGTAAATGAGTCAGATGAATTACGTGGATTAAACACCATATTAATTAAGTCAAGATCATTTGTGAAGATCAACAACATTCAAGTATGTTATAATCATCACCTCTATCTTTACCACACTCAACAAATGTGGTTCAGTGTTTTTCATTAAATTCCGATAAAGTCTGATATGATATTGGAATACATTTATAAACCTTTAAATCATAGGAAGAAATATAAGAATAATCAACCACTCTTTTGAAAAAACAAGATCTGTTTTAAAGAAGGACAGGTGAATAAAATAAAACTCTATTAAGGTTTATCATCTCACATCGTACCGCCATAAATCAAAATCATAGATTATATAACATTTAAAAGCTTGAAGTAGGTTGGATAATCGACCAAATAGAACGAAATGAAGTCGCTAGACTTATTATCCTGGTGATTATATTCTCATTTTTATGAGGACAATTTTTAGTATTGACAGTGTGTTGTTTTAGCTGAAATGCTATCACTATTTCTCTTTAATATCAATGGTCATAATACAATGGTCATATCAACCATAATTTTCCCAAGTATTTGACCTGATGAATAGTATCCAATTTCAATACGAATTCTGTTAAATATACCAGATCAGTGTTTCACAGACTACTAATTACTTTAACAAATAAAGTGTAACTCATTTTTAACTAACCAATACAATACGAAACAGGTAATTATTCAATATGATAACGAGAGAACTTCTACAACATCTGAGATCATTCATGTTCACACAAAATTGATAGAGTACATTTAAATATGCATCATAGTGTTGTAGGACATTGAGTAGATATACCTGTATATAAACACTTTACTTTTGTATGTTCACGCAATGCAAAACTGAACGTATTTATTTCCTTAAAGCCACGTACAGAAAAATACTTACTGTTGTTTCTAATAAATTGTTTGATAGTTCACATTCACGACTGATGAGTTTAGTGCTTCGATTGGACATATATCTTTGACGCTACCTACAACATTCTCTACATACCCAGAAGGTTACAAAATAGATACGCAACAATTCGTTGGTGGTAACTTCGCACTGACTACCATTGGCTACGTTAGTGTTTCAAATCTACAAAATCCAGGTAAGTTCACCGTACAATGATTTCTAACGTTAAACACCCTGTTTCAGTATAAATCATGTATATTGTTAACTGCATCATATATTAACAGTTTTGTTCAGTCTAGCTGTGTCTTATGACACTAAGTTCCTGATGTTTCACAACCAACCACGATTCTCAAAACGTGGTTCTCATAAATGTTGTATTTTCGAAAGATTACATCTTTTCCTGTATGTATGTTTATGAAATTAAGTATGCACTTGCCAAAACAGTAACAAGTGCCTTTCCATTTTCTGATACTTATTTACACAAGTACCGAATTTTCATATTGCATGTAATTAGGGCAGTGGATGATATGATTTTAGGCACTTATTCTGCTACCTGCATTTCGGTATTATGCATTATAGATATCTTCCATTAATAATCATTTTGGGCTCACCTGAACCTTTTGATAATTATTTCTCTGTTAATATTTCTTCGATGAATCACTTTTTTACCGGTCAGTATGATGGCCTCGTCAAACTGATGTTACTAATCAATTCTTAACAACCACATTTATTTGGTGACAACATTTGTGCATAGACATATCCGTGAATAAAACATTTTCAACTGTTGATGATGAATTTGAATAAGTTCAGTGTTTATTCTGTCTTGACCAGTCATAAATTGGAAAGTGTTCAGCTGTTTTACTTGGAAAAGCTATTAATTATGACACTTGTAGTGTAATGGTATGACAGTTTCTACGTACCAAAGGTATTTATTACTGAACTGAAATGACAAGAGATGTTGTGAACAATCGAATATGTATAAAGATGGAGTGATTAAGAGGAATGAAGATGATGGTAGGGGCTGAATGCATTGTTATTCAAGATGGATAAAAATATTTGTTTCCAGAAGTCGTATTCCGAAAAATCATTGATTTTAAGATATATTTTACTGGTAATCATCTCGTGAACAATACACGGTTTATAATTGTAAATAAACCAATGGATAAACGTATTGTTACTTTAGTCCCTGTGTTTGCTGAATGCGAGATCAGATTATTGACACAGATCTCTAAGTGAAGACAATACTAATGGAAAAAAGAATAGGATTTGAATAAGAAAAAGAGAATTCAGTGAAGAAAATTTTTTTCAACGAAATCATTTATTTAAGATGCACTTCCGTATATATAGTTATATGGAAAATGTATGTCT